GCGGCAGACGGTGGTAGTCCGGGCGGAAGAAGCACGGCGAGGAACGGAGGCGCCCCGCCAGCATGAGGGGCGAGCGCCGACGGGTGGGAGAGTCAACATCCCCCCGAGCAGCAGCAAAATCAGGAGCAGGAGGAGGAGGAGCGGGAAGTCGCAGACGAGGAGGGCTACCACCCGGACACGGGAGGCGACCAAGAGGACGGGGAAGATGATGATGATGACGGGGACGGCATGGGTGAGGAGGACGACGAAGAGGAAGAAGATGACGGAGACGGCGAGGACGACAACGACGACAACGACGACGACGACAACGACGACGACGACGACGACGATAATGAGGGGTTTGAGAGCGGCATCGCGAGGTCGGCGCAGACCCGGCTGACATCGGACTCGTACCAGTCCATGCCGTGCGACAGCGAGTTCTTCTGCCGGGACTCGGCCTCGAGCAACAGCCACACGCCCGACGACGAGAACGAAGAGGACGAAGATACGACCCCGATGATCGGGTTGAACGGCCGTCCCTTTCGCCGGGGTCGAGGAGACAGGAGGAGACACCACGTCCCCAAAGGCAGCAAGAAAAGGTAACACTCGGGTCACTGTAGTGAGCGTGGGAAGAAGAGGCGGCCCGACATCGAAGGCGGAACGACCCGCTTGATTTTCTTTCTAAAATAGCACCACCAAAGCTTATGCTAGTATCCTGCCAGAAAAATCACCGATCGGCTTTTTGCTGGCAGCGGTGGTTTACAAGCTCCAGTTTATGAACCCAGTAGCTCAGACACCCGTATGCTGCGCTTTGTTGAGATTGCTCTTGGCGTGTTTAGTCTGTGCACCCCAAATAACGCAAGCTCTTTGACAACGTACCGCGTGCCCTCGGCAGGCTTTCCTCCCGTATCTCCTCCTCCTTTGTTTGAACTCTCCTCCCACCTGTCCTCGTGTCAATTCTTGGGGTTTGTATGCGCAGGGTTGTCGTTCGACGATCTGTCGGCGTGGACAGTCGCAACGAAGACGGCGGCGGCCGCGGGGGCGGCGACGAGGGCGGGGGCGGTAGCGGCCCCAGGTGCTCTGCCGCCACCGTTGCCGCCCTCGGTGTGCTGGGAACGGCGGTGGCGGGTGCCGCGGTTCTGGCTCGCGCCCGTCGGCGTTAGACCGCGGGTGCGAATCGTTTTGCCTTGAGCGACCAGTTTAACGTCAGGTCGGTTCCCTAGCCGGAGGCAAACATCGCAAGAAACGAGCGATCAGTGGAGGCGGAAGCTGTGTGTTGGGAAGTGTTCTGTTAAGGTTTACAAGTTCGAGATGATGATTTGATATATATTTGTATATATATAGAGAGAGCACTCCGAGTTTGGTTCCAAGTATGTGGGCGAACACGGAAGTGGGGTGGAGAGGTGCCAACAGAGTTGGCGCGGCCAACGGCTTACTTTCGGTCTGCGCATTCGTCTGCTGTGTGCAAAAAATCTTCCGCCATCGGAACGGTCTCTTCCGGAATTTCTTCGATTTTCAGGTTTTCTTTTTGCGGGGGATTTTTGCCAGGGAAATTTTGCCGAATCAGTTGCAGAGTAATTTTTCTTCATGACTGGATGGAACAATATTTTTTCTCTTGTACAATTTTCCTTTCCTTTTTGATTTTTTGTTTTTTTTCACGGCGTTGAGTCGGCTGGTGCTGTTGTGCCATTCGTTCTTGGGTGTCTTGGTTGCCCCTTTCACCCACCGAGCACGTTCGTTGCTGGTGTATGAGAGCGCGCGCGCCAAGCGGCGAATACGGTCGGAGCAAGAATCCGAAGGCCGCCATCCACGATGGGAGCGTGCTCGGGTTTCCTAACGGAGAGCCCGCGTTTGATGCCCTTGTAGGTAGGGCTTTCGGCATGACTAGGCGCGATCACCATCTCATCTATCCGCGTGCTTCGACTCGAGAACGCCAATCGTGTTTGGTGCACGGCCATGATCTGTCTGTGCTTCGAATGAAGTATGATCGGAATTGTGTGTCACGACCACGTGGTGTTTGTTGCGTGTTGTTTGTTGGTGGGTTGCTAGAGAGAGAGAGAGAGAGAGAGAGAGAGAGAGAGAGAGAAAGAGAGAGAGAGAGAGAGCGAGAGAGAGAGAGAGAGTGTTCGTGCGTGGGGGTGGGGGAGAGTACTATTATGACAGGGGTGACATCCACGGTGTAGGGTGGGATGGTGCCGCGTGACGGGCTGCGTGTACCATGGGACGGTTACTCGTGTAGTAGTTTTCCGGGCCGCGTGACGGACCGCGTGCACCGTGGGACGGTTTCCCGTGGTCACTAGTCTTCCTTCCGCCGGGTAAATTCATCGCCGATACTGCTGGTTTTGGCTGGGATAGTTCTTGGTGTGGTCCCCCCTGGTTGTACTGCTGGCCGTCGTCTGCTGCTGCTTCAAGGGGGTTACTAGGTTGCCGGAGAAAATCAGTCTCCCCGGGGGCATGGCTAGGTGGGGGCGGGTGGGAAGACTGGTGCTGCCAAGCTCCCCTCTTGGTGCCTTGCCCCGCTTCGCTAGTCTCTTAGGTTTTGTGCTTGGTTTAGGCGTTTTCTGTCCACTTAATGGCTGTGCATGCATGTGAGCTTCGAGTGTCAAGACCGGCCAGACGCTGGACATACGTATACTGGGCTCTGCGGAGGGCGGTGGAGTATAGCCTTGCGGGTCTAAGGCTAGAAGTGCTAACAGCACACGCCGATTTGAGGCAGCGGCTTGGATCATCTGTGTTGATCAGATCGTGTGCACCGACACGGCCAGCCCACCGCGCCGGGGCGCCGGTGAGAGTTCTCGAGAGCCCGTGACGTTTTTCTCTCCGATGTTGGCTTTGCAGCAAAGGAAGTTGACGTTACAATACGGGTTTGCGTCTCACGAATGTGTGGTTGGGTTGGTTGGACGTCTTGGCATCCCACAAAGAGTAGAAGGTAGCCATCATCGACCAAACAAATCGTCCGACCGAAGTCAGGGGGTACAAAAGCGATTAGTCCTTGTTGTGTGTTTAAGTTGGGGAAGTGCTGTGGCACGGTATGGTAGGACATGTGTTGTTGTTGTCGCCGTCTTGGTCGTTGCTTGTGGCTGACTGTTGGGGTGCTTTTCGCACGGACTCGAGACAGCGCTGTTTGCATGTCTGTTGTGTGCGTTACTTATCAATGAGCAATTTAACCCTTTTTAAATCTGTAGGAGGTAGAAATAGTGGTTTAACATACCTGCCCTCGTCCATCAGTTTTTTGTCAGGTTGATTTGCTGCAGTACAGTGATAGGTTAGGGAACGACGGAGCTTGCCCAAGAGGCACACGGGTGATACAAAGACGTTTATGTTTGCTTGCTTGTCGCGTTAGAGGCGCCGGACTTCAGCTATTAGTTTTATGTAAATTTAAGACGTGGTCAGACTGCAACGTCCTGGTCGCGCGTGGACCTGGCACGCCTTCTTCTCGGTTTGCCCAACCTCCTGATGAATATCGAGAATAATGGAGAGTCTGCGTTGGCTGTCTACAAGTCTGCCAAGGCGATGCATGCATGTGTGATGTAATGGCCTCTGATGGCGGCAGACCCAACTGCGTTGCACCAAACGTCAACACCAAAGGACCATACTCACCCCAATATATATCGCCGTTCCATTCATTAGTTGGCTGCTGCCTCTGCCTCGAACTCGGCATCATTCTGTACCTACAGCAGAGTCCATTCGTTACGAGCTGTTAATCCGTCGTGATGGCTGGCTGCCAGAAGAAATTGTAGTCGACAATGAAAGATGTATTTGGTGTTTGGTGTACGGGTAATTTTGGACGACTCATTGGTTGCCGAAACAACGAACTGCTGTGTCGCGTACCCGTTCCCGGATCGCTTCTCATTTTTTGGCTCGGAATAGTTCATTCCCCATGCTTCAGCGTGGTCTAATTCAGAGTTTGGCTGAATAGACAAATCCAATCTTATAGCGTGATCTTCTCGTTTTTGTATGGGAGGGAACCAATCCCAACCACCCGACAAAACCCCCAACAGCACATGATCCATACCCACTTCACCTCACGGCACATGTGTGCACGTGCGTACGTCTTTGGCCGTTTTAATGGCGGGTGGGCGTCGATTGCACGTCCATGTACTGGCGGTCCCACGCAAGTTGTCAACGGAGGAACGACCGGGCGGGGTAAATGTTCATCAAAGTTCATCCGCGATCCGGGGCGACCATTCATTCCACGTGCATCGCATACAACCATGACATCCACCTCCCCGCCACAGGCGCAAACTACGGGCGTGGTCACTTGGCCAGTGAGACATGCCAATGTGGTGGTGACTCTCAACTCGCATGCCTTCAGCAACAGCACAAGAGTAGGGGGTGGATCGGCGGATGGATCCGATGGGTACACACATATTATGCTCATCCTCGACCCAACTCGATCTTTCATTCTACAGCTGACCAGAGGACCATGGCGCTGGCGGACATAGCACGTCAAGGCATGCTAATAGACTATCGCACAACGGGACCATTTGGCCACGTTGATGCTCGGGTTCACCACAGCTTGCGTGTTTACTGCACGTCAGTTATGTCATAAGGTCCCACGGCAGTAAACCTCGGCCGGTGGTACCACACAGCACACTGGCCATTTTCGTCGGGTTGGCTCAGACCAAATTGGTGAGTATTGAGCGATAGGGTACCGAAACAGAGGTGAGCACCGCGGATAAAAACAGAGCCTGAGATTGTTTGGCTGGCACAGAGTTCAGTCTTACAGCTTTTTCTGTCTCTTCCAGCGGTGGTCTTATTTGATGGGGAGTTTGGCTGACACAAAGTGTTTCAGTCTTACAGCAGTATCTGTCTCTCATTCTTTCCCCGAACTCAAACAACACACACCCGGGGGGGTATCCAAACAACCCCCCCACCACACCACACACCACCAAACACCACCACACCACCAAAACCGGACAAACTGGAACCGCGACATTGCCATATATCCTCTAGACTATCCACCCTCGCCGCACGACACGTGTCCATGCATATAGATACATACGTTGTTGGTCAAGAGGCCAGCGGGTGTGCGTTGAAGACATGACCGTGTTGTAACGGTGCCAAGCAGTAGTCCATGTCGACAGCATGAAAGAAGTTCGGCACGATCCGACAACGGGAAAATGTTCCTCCGCGTTCATCAGCGATCCGGGGTGATCTTTCATTCCACCGTGCACCAATGTTAGAGATACTCGCAGCAGTATCTGGTCGTGAGGATCCTAGGGGGACACGTGTTGGGAATTTCGTGTGTTGAAAGGTACCACCCGGCGCAGTCACGGCTTCATGCGTGAGGATCGCCGCACCAAGCTCGACGACCAGGCCACCCTCTGCTACTACCTGAACGGCGGCGACAAACACCCGAGCGGCACCGTCAAGGTCCTCAAGGCGTCCACCGGCCGCGTCGTCTACACCCACAACGTGTCGTGGGTGAC